TCGAGACGCCTCGGTATCTGAGCGCCTATCCCATCGCGTCGCTGTACAGGTTTTACGGCTCGCTGAACAGAAGCACACAGAGAGCGCAGCTGCTCTCGGACCACTACGCGCTGATGACACCCGTGGAAAGGACCGCGGTGTCCTTGAAAATGGAGGACCTCCACATGAATCTAAAGTCCGTCTCGACGACCGGCAACAACGACAAGCTACTGTCGTACGTGTGCATGGCGATGATAGGACCCCTGCGTAGATACAACCCCAGGTACGGATGCGTGGCCGACAGAGTCGTGCTATTCAAACACCTGACAGCGTCCGGCTTTCCCGTGGAAAGCGCCTCGATGCTGGTGAAGAACGTGCTATCGGTGAAACGCGCGCTCATGGTCGAGTCGACCCTGGACGCGGCCCTGGAGTTGCAATTGCGAAAGACGCTAAATCCTACAAACTATAACAGAAAGGTATCGGCTCTGATCTGGCTATTCTCGCACATCGCGGCGTATTGCACGCTTCGTCAGCTGGACCATGGACACGTGCGCATGGGGGACTCGCCCGACGAGATGGACGCCAACGGAATCTACGTGTTCGACCAAGACCACGTCGGGATTAGAGTGTCCGGCGGAACGCCGGCCGCAGCAGGCGATCGACGCTCAGTGCCCTGGGCCTCGGCCTACATGCCCTTCTCACGCATTCTGGAACTGCTTGCATTGCGGGATCGCGCTAAAGAAAGACTTTGTTGACAAGATATCGATGTCAGAACCCGAACATTGTTACGATACACTCATTCAATGCGGCTACATGCCTCTGACCGTTTTGGTGAACATGAGATGGAAACGAGACGTGTTGGAGAAACACAACGCGGCACTGGCGGAAGACCACGCCGTTCACATCGAAGCCCTTAGGCGCGAGTACGAAGAATCGAGACAGTCGAGACGGAGGCTCAAACCTTCGACGACCGAGCGAATGAAAAACACCGTGAAGTGGAAAAGGCCAGCGTCGGCTGCCAAAACGCCTAGACGGCCAAAGAAGAGGACGGGCCGATCCGACCCGTGAGCCCCCACGGATTTGCCGTTTTGCATACCACCCCATTTGTACATACTGTGTGCATGTCTAAGGGTGGAATTGTTGTTCTGTTGTACCGTATAACATGTATTTGAATCTAATGGTGATGACAATAAAGACAACAAAGAAAGTGAAGACACTAGTCTGTGTTCATGACACGATGCTTTATTTTTTTTTCTTTTTGCTCACTCGCTCACACATCGGGTAAACATCATAGTATAACATAACATGACATTACATAACATGTGAGAACGACTGGATGGTTCGAGTAACAGTATAATTTTAGCACTTACAGATCCGACAGTGAGTGGTTCCCGTTACTCATCCAGTCTGAGAAAGCACTGGTTAAAGTGTTTGTGTATTTATTGATTTATTTTAAGTAATTGTGTTTTATGTATATTATGGTTTTATATTTTTAAGGTCGAGCATCCCACGCGTAACTGTCACTTTCTGTCCAACTCAATCTGTGCTGTCCTCGTAGTATCCTCCGTAACACGGGCCTTTTCGTTCGGGGATGTACAATATCACATATAGCACTGCTCTCAGTATAACTGAGCGTGACATGTGCTCACAGGACCGGGTCTATGTGTGTCGGCGCTGGGCGAAAGTCGGCCGGCGGAACCAATGTTGGTTCTGTAGAATAAAGAACTGTACTGTGGACATGTCACCGTCCTCCCAATATCCGTGCCGGTGCACGCCGCCGAAGTCTACTGTAACACCAGTGTCTACCAAGTCGCCTTCTTTCACAGCTTGTGGTATGGCGTGGTTGCTGTGCATTACCACCTTAATTATCAACATGTGACGCGACGCACGCTCCGTCTCTGTTGCATTGTACACCACTGGAAACATTTTGTTGTGGACAACCCATGGTTTCGCCAAACAGACCATCCCGCGGACCAGGCCCACAACAGCCACGTTCACATTAGCAAGCACCATCTACCGAGTCGCCTTCCTCCGTGGACGGCACGCTGTGTTACCGTCGCCAGTATTAACTATTAATTTGTAACGCATACTGTACTCTCAACATCATTGCCTGTGGACACGCCATGTCGTCGAGAAAAACAACCACTCCGCGACCCAGGACAGCCAAAGGTGCATCAGCCGACACGGCGCCGGTCGATATGCCTTCACCGACGCCGGCGAGCCAGGCGAAAGGAGCCGCGCGAGGCAGAGCCGGAAGACGTCCGGCTCCCCTCATCCCCGAAAGGCTTGCGTACGTCTACGACCAGGCGCTTATGAAGGAGCACTACAACAGGCTGTTGCAGATCTCCAAGGCGCACCGTATGAAGTTCGGACGGAGGCGCAAACCTTCGACCGAGCGAATGAAAAACACCGTAAAGTGGAAAAGGCCAGCGTCGGCTGCCAAAACGCCTAGACGGCCAAAGAAGAGGACCGGCCGATCCGGCCCGTGAGCCCCCACGGATTTGCCGTGTTGCATACCACCCCATTTGTACATACTGTGTGCATGTCTAAGGGTGGAATTGTTGTTTGTTGTACTGTATAACATGTATGTAAATCTAATGGTGATGACAATAAAGACAACAAAGAAAGTGAAGACACTACTCTGTGTTCATGACACGATGCTTTATTTTTTTTTGCTCACTCGCTCACACATCGGGTAAACGTCATAGCATAACATAACATGACATTACACAACATACAACGTGAACTCTAACACGGCGTGTGTGGGTCGAGCATCCCACGCGTAACTGTCACTTTCTGTCCAACTCGATCTGTGTTGTCCTCGTAGTATCCTCCGTAACACGGGCCTTTTCGTTTTCTCGACGAGAGCCTTTTGGTTTGCCGCTCGATAGCACGGAGGTTGGAGATGGATCCTTTCTCCGCGGTCTCCTCCGTGGGCTTGGGGTCGTTGCATTGTCTGCCGTCGGCGAGGTCACTGTCGTCCATCTCTTGCCGTAATACTGCGTTTGAAATGTACGTATCCAAGATCGCACTGACCACTGTAGGTAGCCTCTTTTGCTTGTCCGGGTTCGTCAGATGCACTCTCTTGGCGAACGCCGCGTCGTTGGCGTGACGATGCACGTGCGTGGATAAAGTGGACCACTGATTGTGCTTAGTTATAGCTTTGTCAAAGAACATGATCACCAGAGTTCTGTTGTCGAACATAGTACCCAATACGCGATGCTTTAAATATGGGAAAAGGCAGAGGGAGACCATGGCCACCATCGTGTAGAACCCGGTGCGACTTGCGTGCTTCTCATTGTACTTGCCGGCCAGCTTTCTCATGAACCGGTTGATTTTCCCTTCTTTGCAATCGAAGAGAGTCGACACGGCCACGGCGTTGCCGAACGCCGCGTCGCGAATAACACTCAGATGTTCCCTCGAGCACCCCAGTGGAAAGGCAGACCTAAACGCTACCTCTTTGGCAAGGGACAGGGTAATGTCCATCCAGGGCGAGCACAACACTCCGATAGAGGCGCTGGTCGACCCTCTATCGTAATGTACACGGCGGTACTCGTCGGAAAAGTCCCGGGTCAATAGCGTGGCGAAAAGCGCCACGGTCACCGGCAACGAAGCCGTCAAAATCATTTGGTTCAGGTCTGTGTTACGAGGCGGTGCTGTGTTCTGTCCGGACATGTACTCCAGGCCTCCGTATCCCAATTCCAAGCTGGGGTCCCTGAATGGCATGTGGTACGAGGCTCTGAATTCCACTTGCGGTTTGCGGAACACCAGCAGTTGTTCGACGGGGCACTCTGGCGGAGGCAACCTCTTACGTTTCGTCCAGTCCACCATGTCGCGCACCAAGGTACACCCCGGGCCGGAGCACACGTGTCTACTGCAGTGATCGCGACACACGTGTCCTAGGGCCCCGCTGCTGCTGAACGCGCATGCGTTTTCGACGCAATAGCTCACCCACTGGGGATCGTCTATTAACCCCACAGGTAGGAGGTTCGCACCCGGGTCCCCCGATCCCATCGCCGTCTTTTGCATGTGTGCGCCCTTCTTTTGCTGTCCTTTCTTTTTTTCTGTCTTGTGTCACGATTCCTCTGTGACCGTTGCATGCACGTTCGCCGCGATTGCGATGATGCGCAGTTTGGTTCTGATCGCACTTTGTCCGTGTTTTTGTTTGCTTTTGTTACAGGCGAGTAGGGGCCAGAGCGCCGATCTGATCTTGGTAGACGAGGTGGGATTTGTCAGCTCCAAAGTGCTACTAGCCGTTCTCCCCAACATAGCGTTCAGGGGACGTAAACAAGTTCACATCACCAGTCACGTCAATAACACCCCTTGGTTGAATAAAGTAGCAGACATCCGTGGGGACGACGGAGAACCCGCCTATCACGTTGTATCGCAGAGCTTCAAGTGTAAACACCACGCCAGGGACCCGGATTCCACCTGCGTTTGCATGGGAATCTACTGTCCCCAGCACATTTCCGTAGACAACCATCTGAAGCAACTGATGAACATAATTGTGCCTAGGGGCTTCGAGAGCGAGGTGACGGGTAGCAGCAGCACGTCCTCTTCGGACACCAAGTGCGACACGACCACTCCGTTCGAGGCTTGCATCATAAACAAGTTCCTATCCAGCAACTGCATGGAGTTGGAACGCATGGTCCAGAGTAGCGTGGCCAGGGCCTACATATGCATGGACCCGACGTTCGGCGGAGGCTCCAAGTCCTGCGCCGGAGTGTGCTGCGCCGTGGAGCTAAGCGGTGGACAAATGGCGGTGAGTGCGGTCGTCTGCCGACAAGCCCCACACGAGCAGTTCGTCGAACGCGTAGTCGTAATCCACCTTAGCCCGTTGTTGTCGTCGCGAGTCTCCCTGTGTGTCACCCTGAGGCAAGTCGTCCGCGTGGAGGTCTAGCAGTGTACAAATGTAAGCGGTCACCCTGGACTCCGATTGTAACGTCAACGAGGTTTCGGTGTCCGCAGTAGAGCACGACACCATGTCCATCACCTGAGCCCACGTTCCGCACGTACACTCCAAACCTGCCAATCTCATCATCCACCCCGTGATGGCGGTGGAAATTATTACGTGCAGATCGCGTCGCCCCCGCTCTCCCTGACTTTGTAACACAGCCATGTATCTCAGAGCACCGCCGCGGATGCCTTCCACGGACGCGAAAGACGCCAACGTCATATTGTCGTAACTGAGAAAATTACATTGGGCTATACAAACGTGCACGAACCGCTTAGGCACTCTGTTGCCCAACGCCAGGGTTATAACGTCCGACAGTGTACAAGGCACGGTGGGCCCGACGAGCTCCGCGGCGTGACGGTGCTGCGCCTTGTACGTAGACGCCAATTTGTCAATCACTAGGATCCTGGCGGGGGAGTACGAGACCAGTTGAGCATACATGGTCTTAAGTTGTCCCAAGTCCATGTTAGAGTAGAACGTCATGTTGCGGCGGTATGCGGTGAACACGATCATGAATTCGTAGTGCGATATCACATAGTCCCACGGAGCAGCGAGCAACTGGCGGATGTCTCTTCTGCACGTCTCACACGTATCGCAAAACATTGTGCCCGCAATCTACTCGGACCGACAATGATGTGTGTGTCGGTGTCCTTTTTTTTTTTGTCCTTACAGGTGGTGGGCTTAGAGGAGTTGGAAATAGCGGACCTGGATCAAGTGACTCGCGTGTACTCGGCTCTGCTGTGCGCTCACGTCAGGCTATTGAAGGTGCTCATGCCCAGAGTCATGTGGAAGGAAGTGCCCGTGGTTATAGTATTCGAACAAAACACGTACGTCAACGCACTCGTGGACGTGAAGAACCTGATGGAACAATCGCTGTTGGGTTCGGGGTCTTTGATTAAATTCTACAGCAAATGGTCTCACGTCAACAACAAATACATGCTCGGGAAACACGTCAGCGCCAAGACCAAACTCGACATGGTGCTCAGCGCGGTCTCCGGCATATGCAAGGGTGCGCTTTGTTACTGTGACACCGTGATGTCTCTAGGCTGGGCCGTGCTTTCCGAGGCCACGAAGAAGACCAACGCTGTAGAAATGACTATGGGCTACACCAAGGGTGCTGGTTCCAGCAACCGAATGGGTTCGACTATGAACGTGGGCATGTACAAGCGATCTCGCAGGGGTGGCAATCTCCCCACAGCTATCACCTCGAGCGTGCTGGAGTCGCACGATGTGATATCGTTACCGGATCACAGGTTGACGGACAAAATGCACGCGGAGCAGGGCAAGTTGCTACTGGGTAAACTGAGAGAGGAAATGTCCATGGTCACCATAACAAAATCACAGAAGGGCTTGGATGTCGTGAGCACGGGCGGCAAAAGGTCCGTGGCCGGTCAGTACACCAGAGACGACATGATTTCAGCTTTCCTTTTGTTGTGTCACACCAGAGAAGAGTTACAACAAGGGGGGGAAATGGTCCGGGTGCAGGGCGAAGTGTATTACAGGTGAAACGATAGACTGTGTGAACCTTTTTGTTGTCGTGGAGTATAGGAACTACACTGCCTACTAATTCATATGTTACATCCAAATAAATGCTCGTTGAGCGCATTGGGTTGGTCTTGTCGCGTTGTGGTTTGTTGTTTGTGTGTCTGACTGCAGGTCGGGGATCCGGGGAAGTGTTTTATTAAGACTCTTATAGTCCGAATGGCACAGACAGTAATAGGACAATAGACAAGTATCACACGTTAATAACGACCACAAGTGTGCTCGGTGAATCGACAGCGAACGATATGACAACATTACGCCTTTCGTGCTTTTGGATGTCGCTGTGTGCCTTGTCCCTAGCTACGGCTATCAACACAACAGGTATGTAGTCACTCGCAATGTTTAAGTGCAATGGCCTGTATTGCACACTCTCGCCTTTGCTTTGCTTGAACACTGTCCATTGCACGGCCAAAGTAAGGTTGTCACCTTTCGATCGTACCCCCCGCTGTGTGACTACTCAAATGTGTTCTCTTGTCATCAGATCCCAAACACGTAAGCGCGACGAGCGGACAAGATGTCGGTCTTCACTGTGAGAGTCTGAGGCGTACCAACGACAACCTGATCGCATTGTGGACAAAGGAAGGACACACCGATGACGGTTACGTGTTTCTCGTTTGGAATAAGCGTTCTGAGGAGACCAAGCAACACGCAGACTTCCACGGCAGAGTGCAGCTGATCGACCCATCCATGAACAACGGAAACGTTTCTGTGATTGTAAGGAACATCAGTGTGGCTGATACAGGGTTGTACTCGTGTATGGTTCGGACAGGTGACAGCAGAGACCGCACAGAGCTTGAATGCCTTGTCGCCCTCACAGTCACAGAACACAGCGAGTCCACTATGCACGAAGAAATCACAGTCTCAACAGAGCTCCCGGATCTTTTCGACCCCACAACCGCAGCACACGGCGAGTCCACTATGCACGGAGAAATCACAGTCTCAACAGAGATCCCGGATCATTTCGACCCCACAAC